CTGTCACAATGCAACATGTGATAGGTCGCTGGGACGTTTTATTACACAGCTGACTTGGTGTCTTCAAAATTCAATACCACAAAAAAGAAAAAAAAAGGAAAGAAAGAAAACAACAACAAAAAAAGGGTGTTGGGAATGTTCTAGATTGAAAGGAGGCAAAAGAGAGATCACCACCAAATGAAACCCATGGGACTAACCCGTGGCTCCCCGTCCTGGTTGTTCACGATATGGAATAGCTGTAAAAGGCATTTTGGAGCATTTTGTATATGGATTGGGTCTTCGATCGGATTGAGGAATTGTTAATTTTCTTAGACGTGATAATAGTAATGTAGGAAATTGTCCTCCTTTGTAGGAAATGCATGCAGGTGTAATAGGAGACAAGAGTCATGTGTGCAACCTCCTTTCAAATGATTCCACAAAAGAAAAAAAAGACAGACACGCACATGTGCGCGCGCGCACACACACGCGGAGAGAAAAAGAAACGCAAAATGTTAATGACAATTAACCTAGGTGCTGGGTGGTTATTTTACCATTCCCCCAACTATTTTTATGTATTGAAATCTTTCATAATAAAAGGTTTGAGAAAACCTGATCTGGGCTGCAGAGTCAGAAAGACCAGGTTCAAGTCGCCCCTGTGCTCGCTCTCTGAGGTTGGGCTAGGTGTTTCCCACCCTGTACAAGGACAGCCAGAGCTCCCCCCCGGGGATTGTGTGCAGCCCCGTGCTCTCTGGGTGCCTGGTGCCGGCGGACGGCCCCCACCCCCATGAAGCCCACCCTGATACCCCCTCTTCCCTGACCTCCCATCCCCATAGCACTTCTGTTCCGCAGTCTGTTTGCCACCAAGTGACTGTCCGACCACCATGAATTTGTCAGGTACGGGCTTTTCCTTCTCCGTATTTGAAAGCAGGACATGTGCCCGTGCTCTCCTGGGCCCCCTCAATGGCCTGGGCCCACGGGAACAGCGGTGGCATCGTTATCTCATTTTGATTCCTCAAACAACCACATAAAATCAGAAATTATGGATCTCATTTTAGAAATGGAGCACCTGACGCTCAGAGAGGCAAAGCATCTTTTCCAAGGTTAGCAGGAGTCAGAGTGGGGAGTGGAAACCCAGGGTCCAGCACTCTGCCGTGCACTTGCTGTGGGCCTGTGTGGGGTGAGGCTGCAGGCCCAGTGATGAGGACCACGATCGGCAAGGGCCCTTCCGAAGGCCCAACTAAGAGATTCAGCCCCAGCCTACCCGCCAGTGGGAAGACACCAGCAGCGAGCTTGCTGAGAACAAAGCCCTTGGAAAAACTCTCTTCCTAGGAAGCAGGCTGGCATCGTTCGAGGGCCTGCTGGGGCCCAACCCCAGGAGGCAGGCTCACTGGAAGAATAGGCCTGCTGAGTGCAGGCCCCAAGCCCCAGGGCTGGGCTCAGGCCCCCCCAGGATGCTGGGCTGTGAGGGGCACCAGTGGGTTATGTTCAAGGAGAATACAGGTGCACCTACTAGGAGCCTTGACCACAAATGCTTCTTTGTGTACATACGCGCTGGGGAATGGGGCAGTGGGGAGATGGGGTGGGGGGAGGAAAAGGCAGAGAAGGGGGACAATGCAAGAAGGATTGGGGGAGAGAGTAAGGAAAGAGTGGAGGAGAGATGGAGGAGGAAGAGGTGAAGTCAGATGGGAAGATTGATCCAGGTATATCCAGCACCAGTGGGCTCCACCCAGGGAAACATGGGTGTTGTAGGGAGGGTCCTGGAGAGCCTGTCAGCTCAGCTGGTCTCAGTGTTACCGGAGCTCTGGAACTAGGCATTTCTCAGGAGGCCCGTGTGGATCCCCCCACCCATGGCAGACCCAGGCTAGAAGCCCTGAGGACCTGGGTGCAGGCCCCACCCCTGAACCTGCAGGCCTCTGGGGATTCAGAATAAGCAGGGAGTACAGGTCGGGGGACTGCACAAAGGCCAGCCCTTCCTCTCCTGCTCTGTTAAGTGAGCATCCGGAGGGGTGCCAGGCCTGTGCTATGCATGTCACGGCATCTTGGCATTGACTCCTCGGCACTCGTGGAGGTAGTGGGGATTATTAGCCTCCTTTATGTAAGAGCGGGCGGAGGTAGCTCAGAGAGGTTAAGTGGTTTGCCCAAGTCACACAGCTAGGCAGCAGCAAAGAGGACCCTGCATCTGCGGCCACGTGGCTCCCAGTCTGGTTCTTGTTACCCTTCCCTTCACAGCGCCCATGAGACCCTACAGTGAAGCCCGCACTGGGGAGGAGTGTAGTGCTGGGCCATTATCGACAGGCCTGGTTCAGCCCATCCCAGGTGCCAGGCCAGGGGCTGTGCTTGGAGTGGAAAGAGAAACTGTCATCCGGCTCACCAGATGTGGACTAGGAAGTGGCTCCTCGAGCCTTATGTGCTGGGGGAGGCTGAACCACACCAGCTGTCTCCCCCTGGGTGGGGGGGCTCCCTTTGGAGAGGGGCTGGACCTGTCAGGGACTGGGTGCCCAGCAGGTCTCCCCAAGGCACCTGGGACTCATGTGGGCTGCCCAGGAAGAGCGAAGACCAATCTGCAGTCCGGCTCAGAGGCCCTGGGGTCACCACCTGCCGTCTTGGAGCTGAGATTGTCTTCCTGGGAAGAGAGAGCCGGGAACACAGTGGAGTCTAGTCCCTGAGGGAGAGGTGCTGGCTGTCCAGGGGCTCTGAGGAGTCTGGGGCTGTGGAGTCCGAGTTGAGCTGGGCCCTCAAGGCTAAGGGTAGGCCGGGCAGGGAAGAGGCATAAAGGCTTTCCAGGCTGGGAATGCACCAACAAAGAATAGGAGGTAGAATTTCTCTTTCTTTCTCTTTCGTGGGAACTGTGGAATCTAGAATGTTCTACCTGGAAGGAACAGAGCAATTCCTAGCACTCCCATATATCAGATTGAATTTTTGCCAGGTCTATGCTATATTTTTCATATTGTATTTTTTGTATTTGATTCGTTATTTTTTAACTTAGCCTTATTAGCAGTAATATCTATGAAATCATGAATTTGGAGTACAAGTTTTAATATTTCTAATGCAAATTAAAATAAACACCTAACTACTAAAATTAAACACTTCATCTCTGTACCGTGTCAGGGGATCACAAGTGAGCACCTGGGACCCCACCCTGGGCATCGCTGATGTAATCCTGATGCGGAGCTGATGCCCTGAATGTGCAAGGGGCTTGCGTGAGGTCATGCAGCCAGCGGTGCTGACCGGGCTCCCGTCCATGTCCAGCAGGACTTTGTCCTGAATAGTCCTGGCAGACCTGGGCAGGGACCAAAGCAGGCAGACTGGAGTGGATGGCGGTGTGGGCCGAGGCGGGGAGGGAGGGAGGAATGGTGAGCAGGGAAAGCAGGGAGAAGTCCCCTGGCAGGATGCACAGTGACCCCGGGACAGTGGAGAAAGTGGGAGTGGGGGACCCCCCGGGGGCTGGTGGGAAGAGGATTTGTCTGTAGGTGAGAAATCCCCCCCACACACACACCGAGAACCTCCTTATTGGATCTGAACTCCTTCCTTCAATGAAGAGAACTTTGCGGCTGGGCTCCTGGCTTTATTTAAATCAAATGCAAAGTTTTGTTTTCAGATTCCCAGAGTTGGTGTCCTGATTCTGTAGTGGTGCTTCCTTTTGTTTTTCCTTCCCGTGGAAATTTCCTGTAGGGACATCACCCTTGCCTCGTTCTGTACCGAGATGCAGTAGGAGACAATAGGAGAATTGGCAGGAAGGGGAAGGCATTGGTCATGGCAAAGTTGGGCCAGCAGCATATTCATTTACAAAGTGCTGTTGAGCTCTAGCTGTATGCTAGGCCCTGGCTGGGTACTGCGGGTGGCCTGTCGCACTTGGAGGCACGTCTACCCAGAGAACACCTACTCGGGTTCCGTCTGTGAACGTGACCATTTGTAGGGCTTCCCTTTAGGGGGCGCCATCCTGTAGCAAAGCCGGACTCCATCGTGGGCTGCCCACTCGGTCCTCCAGTCGCCCCCGTGCACATCTCTGTTCTTGGCTGCATGGCACAGGACACACATGCAGTAGGGGCCAACTGGTTGCTTGGTTGGAACCTGTGTTATCGACGGTGGGTAGAGAGGGGGTTGGGCTCTCAAACTTCATTGTACTTCTGTTTCACTGGGCATTTCCTGCAGGTGGGAGAAAAGCAGAATTAAAATGTTAATTTCTGGCCCCATCCCCCAAATATTGGGTTCAGTAGATCTGGACCGGGACCCAGGGATCAGCATTTCTCACAAACAACATGCAAGGCTCAGATGATTTTGACACAGGTGATCCTTAGACCACACACTGAGAAACCTTGCTCCAAAGGGTATTCTGACACAGGAAAGAGTCTCAGATTTCCAGTCAGGAGACCTGTGTTCAGGGCTCTACTTATTAGCTGTGTGGCCTTGGACAAGGCCAAGGCCACTTAACCTCTCTGTGCCTGATGATGATGATGATGATGATGATGATGATGATATATAGGACTAAGAGATTTCTGAGGGTGCATTTGTGGATTCAAAGCTCTAGAGAGAATCAGAGGAGGGATGATAATGGATGGTTGTTTGTCTCTGCACAGAAAAGGGGACACCCCCCCATCCTCACTGACAGCAGTGTTCTTTGTCTCTGTGGCCTCCCAGCCTCCTCTGTTTGTACCTCCCATACTGAATTGAGCACAGTCTTTGATATGCAGGAGGCTTCCCATATGTGTTGTTGGGGGGGTGGTCTGCTCTGTCACATGCCAGGTCCCTAGCAAGTGAAAGGACCTTCCATGTTTTCTGGAAGGTGCAATGGGAGTGTGCACCAAAGGCGGGAAATGTATGAGTACCCTCATGCCAGTCTTCACTCTTGTAGGACTTTATTAAGAGAGTTAAATCCTCTAGCACAGGGCCGGGGCAACAGAGGGCCCCGCATTCTTGGAGGCTTCCTCCCCTCTCTCCACTTCCTTCCCCCCGATGCCCAGCCCCAGGCCCTTCCAGAAGCAGTGACCTGCCTGACCCTTGTCTCTCCTGGTTCCTCACAGATGTCCTGGCGTCCACAGTACCGCAGCTCCAAGTTCCGGAACGTCTACGGGAAGGTGGCCAACCGGGAGCACTGCTTCGACGGTATCCCCATCACGAAAAATGTGCACGATAACCACTTCTGTGCTGTCAACACCCGCTTCTTGGCCATTGTCACCGAGAGCGCGGGAGGTGGCTCCTTCCTGGTCATCCCCCTGGAGCAGGTAGGACCCGCACCTCCCTAGCTCCGGCAGCTGTCCAGAGCAGGGAGAAGCTCGCCTTGGTCACTGTTGGGATTGTCGCCTCCGTTTCTCTCTGTGCCCCCCACCCGCCCTTTTACTGTCTCATCATGTGTCCAGTGGCTGTGCCCTCCCCAGGGTTTTCCTGAGATTCGCCAGAACAAGCGCAGGCCAGGATCCAGCAGACCTGAGATTTGTTCCCAAAACTTCCCCAAAGATTGCAGTTGGACAAGTCACTTCCCTTCGGATACATGGGGCTCCCATTAACACTCGGGATTGGAACATCTGATCTCCAGGTGATCTCCAAGACCGGGTCCCGCTCCGCAATTCTGTGTCCTGGGTTGTCCTTTTTGGTACAGAGCTGGAAGGGATGAAGACCCAGCCGTAGGCACATGGGGCATCTGCAGAAATGACACACTCATTAAAAAAACATAGCGAGTTCTCCACTGAGAGGCTGGAAATAATTTACCATCCCTCTCATCCCCACTTCCTAGCTAAAGGTTTTCCCCCTTCTGTGGCTGCCTTTGTGAATATAGCAAATTAAATCTGCAAAGCCTAGATCATGAAATTTTGAAGCTCTGCGTTCAGGCAGAGTCCCTGGAGGCCCGTGGGAGGTCACGCGCCTCAGGGAAAGTGCTCGCTGTCAGCCTCACTTGTTTATGGCTGAGCTCTCTCTTCCCGGCCTGACTCATCTCCACTCCCACCCTCCGCCAAACCGCTCAGGGGAGGAGGAGGTACATGCGGAAGGAAGCCTTAGTTCTCGAAATCTACCGTCAGCTGGTGGTGGAGGATGGATTTTTCCAGTCTCTCCTACCCACAGTGGGAGAACACAGATTTGAGAAAGCCTTAGGCCATAGCCTCCCTCCCACCAAAGGGGGCACAGCCGCAGTGACACCAAGAGGTCTGAGGACAGAGCCCAGTGGACAGAGAGGTCTGAGGAGCCATGGCCTTGGTGGCAGGAGGTCTGGGTTCTAGTTGGCTCTGCCACTTGCCAGCCATGTGATCTCAGGCATGTCACTTACCCTCTCTGCACCTTATCTTCCTGTAATAGTAAAACGAGGATGCTGAATCCTCCGTCTACATGCGTGATATTGGCATGGAGTGGCATGATAGACATGGAAGCTCCTCGTGAACCACATAGCATGTTAAAGATGTTTGGGTATTTTCCTGGGAAAATCTATTAGCTCTGCTCATGGCCTTGGCCTATAAATGCCCACAGCAGCTCTAACACATTCGGAAGGATTCTGAAATGTAGCTTGTCTCCCCTCTCAAACCAGATGGGCCCAGATACCTATTACCTTGGGGACCAGCTAAGCTCCAGCCACAGCAGGTCCCCAGCCACGTGGGGGTTGGTCTATACAGGGGCTCAAGCCTATTGCCGGCACCCTGTGATGCTCCACTGTGTGGCTTACAAAGGTCAATAGCCAGTACCTCACGCTGTAACAACAGTTAATTCCAGATGTGTTAAAGGTCTAAACATTAAAAGAAAAGAGAAAGAAGAAAAAAGGAGAGAATAAAAGAAAAAGAAAAGCTACCAAGTATATTATAGGAAAAGAGAGTATTTTTTTAAATCATGCAATGAGGAAAGGCTTTCTAAACAAGACAAGAATCCCAGGACCATAAAGGAAATGATTAATAGATTAGAACAAATTTTTTAAAAAGGTAAAATTTCTATACTACAGTAAGACATGTAGGGAAACTTAAAAGCAAACCCCATAACTGATACAGACAAAAAGATCCATGTCCAAAATAGATAAGGGTTCCAGAAAAATCAATACGCAAAAGGACCCTGTTAAAAAAAAAAAAAAACAGGCAAAGGATATGAATAAGCAGTTCACAAAAGATGAAAATAAGTCTTTTAACCTACAAAAATAGGAAAAGATTTAAAAGAGTAATTATCTTTGGTATCGCCAAGTGTGCAAGAGAGCAGGTGCCCAAATACATTCTTGGTGTATTTGATGTATTTACATCAAATTTACAGGTAACTTAGCACTAACTATTAACATGTAAATGTGCATGTCCCCTGGCTTAGCAATTCCACTTCTAGAAATCTATCCAACAGAAATATTCTCAGGTATACCCAAAATGTTTGTAACATTTTTTAGTACTCCATTTTTTTTTTACAATTTATTTTCTACAGAGATAAAGTTTCTCTCTCAAATTGCTTAAAAGTTTCGAAACTCTTCTTCTCAGTTTCTATAATGGTATCAAAGAGTTTTATATTATCAGTGGCCCTAGTCTAGAATATGATCAGATTTTGTAAACACTTCAGGGACAGCCGGGAAAAAGGTACTCTACAGAGTGTGAGACTCTGCATAGAGATGAACAGTGTATTTGAACACATGCATATATAGCCAATGCACACAGAGCTTTTCAACTTTATTTGTTCACATTTTGTGATACATTGTGTTTAATTTGATTGCTAGGGACCGGTGGTGATGGCTCGCCCTAGCAGTTGGTTTCTGTTGTTTTCTCTGAATCCAATAGATTTTCACTTTACGTAAGTGCATGATGGTTTGTGCAGCACTTTTATAATGAAAATTGGAAGCAACCTGCAGGTCTATCAATAAGGAAATGTGTGAAAGAATTAGGGACATCCACATAAAGGGATACTAAGCAGTCATCAAAATTGATGGTGTAGAACAGTTGTTTCCAAGTGCTCAGCTCAGAATCATTTTACACTTTTTAAAAGTATTGAGGATGCCAAAGAGCTTTTACTTAGATGGGTTCTATATCAATATTTGGCATAATCAAAATTTAAAAAAAGGAATTTAAAAAATACCTCTTTGTTAATTCACTTAAAATAACATCAGGGGCGCCTGGGTGGCTCAGTCGGTTGAGCATCCCACTCCTGACTTTGGCTCAGGTCATGATCTTGGGGTCGTGGGATCTGGCCCCACTTTGGGCTCCGCACTTAGCGCGGAGCCTGCTTGAGATTCTCTCCCTCTCCCTGTGCCCCTCCCACTTCACACGTGTGCAAGCACTCCCTCTGTCTCTCTCAAATAAATAAATAAATAAAATCTTTAAAAAAAAATAACTTTAACGAACCCATTTCATGTTCTCCCAAAAAACATATTTATGAAAAATAACTTTTTTCCAAAACACAAAAAATTAATGAGAAGAAAGGCATTGTTTTACTTTGCAAATCTCTTTAAGTTAGTCTGGCTTAATAGAAGATTTGCATGTTATATATGTATATATTAGAAGACTTGCGTGTTTACTTTTGCATTCAGCCTGTTTTAATACCATGCACGCAGTCTCTGGAAACTCCACCGTACGCTCCTAAGAGAATGGCAGTGAAAAGGCAAATAACGTCCTAGTATTAGTAGGAATATTGTTTCAACCCAACAGAATCCGTGAAAGTCTTGGGAACCCCCAGGGACCCCCAAACACACTTTGAGAACCACTGATGCAGGGGAATTTTTCATGAGAGAAAATTTTATGACATACCGTTAAGGGAAACAAAAAGGTAAAATATAATTAATCCCATTAGAAAATTTCTATGTGGGGCGCCTGGGTGGCTCAGTCGGTTAAGTGTCAGACTCTTGGTTTCAGCTCAGGACATGAGGTCGAGCCCTGTGTTGGGCTCCATGCTCAGCTGGGAGTCCGCCGAAGATTCTTTTCCTCTGCCCCTCCCCTGCTCGCATGTGCTCTCTCTCCCCCACCCCCTCTCTCAAATAAATAAATAAATCTCTTAAAAAGAAAATTTCTATCATCCAGAAAAGACTGGGCGAATATACATCTAAGGATAATAATGGTGATCTCCGAGTATTGGGATCATGAAGTTTCTTTCATTTTCTTCTTTTTCCATAGCTATAGCTTCTTAATTGTTTTTAGGTGAACACTTAATGTTTTGTATTTCAGAAAAAAAACAATAAAAGCAATATGTTGACATAAAGAGGGAGCCCCTGAGGTTTGAGAGGCTATAGAGAGGAGCTCAGCTCAGCCCTCCATTATGTTCATTGAGAATGTTTTCTCCCAGAGTTACACACGCTTAAGAGCCTGCTGGTGAAAAGGCTAACAAGACAATGAGGGCGAGGGGTGGCAGTGGGGTGGGTGGGTGAGGCAACTCTTTGATCCGGGGGATTCACTTAGTTTGGGTGTCTGAGACCATGTGGAGCAAGTTTCCACACCCAAAGAGTGGCTCCTTAGGAATCGGGGCAAAGGCCTGCCGTCCCCTGCTGCACGGGCCACAGCTGTCAGTGTCCTGCCCACAGTGGCCACATCGAGCCAACAGGCATAGCCCAGCTGGTCTGGGGACAGGGCTTACCAGCCATAAAAGTAATGCCAAATTCAGAACCCGCTTATTATCGGTCAGCAGTAGAGATGAGCTGTTCCACGTTGGCCAGTTTTCTAGGAAGAAGGTTCTATTATTTTAGCGCCAGGTTCTTTTCCCTCAGTTTGATAGAAATCTCTCTACAAACAGCTTCCTGTGTTTTTCAGCACAAACACCGAAAAGATTTTGGCCCTTTCTTAGCGGATCCTAATCATTGCTTTGAGCGTTCATTATGAGCTGTGGACTCCTGGGGATGCACTTTTGTCCCTACACCAGATGACTCCAGGCGATTTTCCCCGAGCCAACCGGAAGCCACAGAACATTGTCTGCTGTTGTCGTTCTTTTCTGAATTTTTCCGTCTGCTATCAGGTGTCCTTCCCATTTCCCTTCTTGCTTCTCTGAGAGGTTCGGGCCAAATGAGAATAGCACTACCCGGGACCCCCAGATCCCTGCCCTGAGACTGAGCCTTCGGAGGGAGGCTCCAGCTGTCCCTTTGTTCAGGTTCCCTCGAAGCCGGCTTTGCCTAAGATGCCAACATTCGTGATGGAAAAGTTTTCTCCGGGCTGGGAGGCACGTCCACAGAGACGCCAAACGACAGCCGTGCGGAGGTTTTGCCTTTGCACAGTGCTCGAATCCAACAAAATCTGACACTCGATCCTCCTGGGTGGTGGGTCGAGCCATCCGCATTTCACAGTTGGGGAAACCAAGG